ATAAAACAGCCTGTAATAAGAGTTTATAGTATCCAGAAGGAAGCAGTCTCTGCTTTGACATCAACCTTGCCAAAGGCCAGGATAAAATGATCTTTGAAGAGATTTGTGGGAAAGAGATTTGTGGGAAATGCTCAGGGCTTTTGCTAGTGAGGGATCGGGATTAAACACGCTGACTCTTGTTATTCTGGGTTTATCTCGGGGTGCAATTTGCTATTTCTTTCTCCTAACCATGATCCATGACATGCTGAGTCATTATGGAAGCTGGGGAAGTATCATAGTCTTGTCATAAAATTTGTGGATGAAATATCAAGATGCACCAAGCTGTTAAAACTGAGAAATAAGCCTAAAGAAAGAGTGTGGTTTTGCATGTTTTGTAGCATTTAAATGCTTGGCATGTATCCAAATTTTGTTCATAATTTTTAAATGATTTTTACTTTTATTTATGTGTCTGTGTGAGTATATGCCACGTGTGTGGGGATTGCCTATTTAGGCCACAAGAAGGGATTAGATCCCAGGAGCTGGAGTTGCAGGCCTTTGTGAGCCACTTGATTTAGGTGCTGGGAACTGAACTCAGGTCCTCAGAAAGAGCAGCAAGCACCTTAACCACTAAACTATCTCTGCAGCCCCGTGTTTGTAATTTTTAAAAGAATAAGCAAGTTGGGTGTGGTGGTACATGCCTTTAGTCCCAGCACTCAGGAGGCAGAGGCAGGTGGATCTCTCTGAGTTCGAAGCCACCTAGGGGCTACATGCCTTTAGTCCCAGCACTCAGGAGGCAGAGGCAGGTGGATCTCTCTGAGTTCCAGGCCACCTAGGGCTACAGGGAGACCCTGTCAACAAACAAACAAAAAAGAAGCAGCAAGATCGTATAAACTGGGCAGGGATTCATTCTAGTTCTTTCACACCAGATGCAATCCTTTGTGTTCTGAACTCTTCAGAAAAAGATTTGCAAAACATGGATTTTCTCTGAAACACATTTCCACCACTTTAGTCTATCACTTCTGCCTAGAGACTCAGTCTGACATTCTAATTGGAAGAGGAAAAGAAGTACAGCCAAGGGTTGGGAATGAGCTGGAAGAATACTGGAGGCTGTGGGTTACAGCTCCAGCACTGGGCAGGAAGAGGAGGATGCCTTTCATCTCATTGTGAGTTCTCCACTGTTAATGGTTTAAATGTGAAAGTCCCCCACACCGACATGTGTTTGAAATCTTGGCCGCCAGCTGGTGGAACTGTTTTAAGAGGTGGTGGAATTTTCCAGATGAGGGGCCTCACTGGCAGAGGTCAGTCTCTCTGTTTGCTGGTCTTCTACCACGATGTGAACAAGCTACCAGCCCACATTACTGCCATTACATAGAGAGCAGCTCCAGCCTCCATGCCTTCCTTGCCAGACTGGACTGGACCCTCTGAAGTCATGAACCCAAATAAACCTCTCCTCTTTAAGCTGCTTCTGTCAGGCATTTGTCACAGCAATGAGAAATTCATGCATTGACCCTTAAGCTGAGACACACCCCCTCACCATAATAGAAATCCCTTAGAATGGAATCTGGGAATGTGAAAGTCTTCTACCCTGTTCCCTCCCTCATATCTTTGCATGCATTCAGCAGATTTACCTGGCGGGAACCAGAGGAGGGAACAGAGCAGGAGTCCCATGTACTGAGAGGAAAACCCTAGCTTGGCACTGAAAGAGGTATTTCATTTTTTCAAGTCAACAGCAGCCCCATTCAGGATCTCCCTTATAAGCCCTGGAAAGAGGGTGGTTGTCAGGGAGAGGGATCACATGCAAGATACCAGGCTGGCTTCAGATGATGAAGGTGAGGTAGGATGCATCCATGGTTTATACTCACACTCCTCATGTGGGTGGTCAGTGTGGTTTCACTGACCTACATCAAACAAGCCAGATGGCCAGAGACCCTTATTTGTTATTTTTATTTTATGGATATGAGCATATTACCTACATGTATGTAAGCATACCTGTGCCATGAAATGCCTACAGAGGTCAGAAGAGGACATTGGATCCTCTGAAACTGTAGTTATGAATGGTTGTTATCCAGCACATGAGTGCTAGAATTGAACTTGCCTCTGCAAGAATAGCCAGTGCTCTTAACCACTAAGGCATCTCTCCAGCAAGACCCTTATCTCTCATCTGAGCCCTAATGATAGGGATGTCCTTCGATTTCACAGGCTGGCTATTCTCCCCACTTTTTTGATCACATGGAAGTTTTCTTTCCAGTCAAGAGTTAACATTATTTTGGGGTGAGGGGGGTCTCATTATTCCTCCTTTTGTTATTCAAACCATCTCTATGATTAGTCTCTAAATTGTGTTTTCTAAGGGAATATAAAAGAATAATGATTCATCTGGAAGGGTCTGAATCTTCCTAATTCTAAACTAAGTTACAAACGCTGAATTTGAATTCCTAATGTTCTATACAATGACTTTGACTGTAAAGCATCTAAAACAACTTCTTAAACTTGGGTCCTCAAAGATTCTGATCATTGAGATGGTCAGAGGCAGAGATTACTCTCTCACACCCCCACCCATCAAAAGATCTCAGCTTTAAAATAAGGACCAGGCCAGGCATGGTGGCACACACCTTTAATCCCAGCACTTGGGAGGCAGAGGCAGGCGGATCTCTGTGAGTTCAAGGCCAGCCTCTTCTACATAGTGAGTTCCAGGACAGCTGGGGCTACAGGGAGACTCTGTCTCAAAAAGATTTAAAATAAAACTAAAATAAAATAAAATAAGAACCAGACAGGTAGTAGCAATCAAATCACAGTAAAAGCTGGCGTTCACTGAACATATACTATGTGCTAGGTCAATGCTAACCACATTACATGCTTTAATTCTTTGAAATCTCCAATGTAAAGATGCTGTTACCATTGTCCCCAATTCCCAGATGAGGGCAATGGGCCTTGGAAAGGTTGGTGACTTGATGTGGTTATCACAGCTATCAGACAGAATTTGATCTAGGGTCTCTGGGTTGAGATCCCACTCTTTGTTACATATTCCATTAGAATAAATTTAAAGGTAATGATAATCCTGACCTTGGAAAAACTCAAGTGTACCCATCTAGACCAAAAGTTGTCAATCTAGTAGAGCTTTAATGATACAGAAATAACCCAAGAGTTCATGGATGGATGAATGGATACACAAAATATAAGGTAGCCACATTTGTATGAAAAAGGAAAGGAAATTCAGAGTCATAGAGAAACACTGAAGACATTAGGCTAAGAAAAAAGAAGCCAGTCACCAGAGGACAGACATTCTATGCCTCTACTCACCTATGATACAACACTGAAATTCCATAGCATCAAAAAGTGGAAGGGTGGTTGCCAGGGGTTGAGAAGAGGACAGTTTGAATAGTTTGCATTTAGCAGGTATGGAGAGCCACTTTGGAAAAATAATGAAAACATTCTGGAGATGGATGGTGGGGACTGCACACCAATGTGAATGTACTTAAGGCCACTGAACCGCACATTTTAAATAGATAAAATGATACATTTTATGAATAAAAAAATCAACACATACCCAAAATATGCCTAGTCCCCACACTAGTTAAATGAAGTTCTCCCCAGGATGGAACTCAGATATCTATTTTTTAAACTATACATACTGTTCTAGTAGGTTCCTAGGGTTAAGAACTTCAGGATCAGAAATCACGAACTCTGGAACTCACTTTGGCAAAGTCCTTGATACTATCATACATTCCCACTTTCTCCTGCACACAAGAAAACTGAAAGTCAATCCTCATCCCAACCTATTGCCAACTAAGACAGCCCAGGTTCAAGAATCAGTGAAGGGTTCCAGAAGCCATAGATTCTGTAGTTTAACCAGGTATTCCTCCAGCTTGGAATTGTCTGCATAATTGTCTATGTAATATCTTTAAAACTCCAGGTACAATTATTACCAAAGTACTTTAGAATCCAGAACAGAGGTTCCCAGTGAAATATTCATCCATCACACTTGGACCCTTAAAAACACATACCAGTCTTCTTGGGCTACTGTACAATTTTTAGGTGATCCTTAGCAGGAGAGGACAAAGATGATTTATTCAAAAAGAAAAGAACAGCTTCTGGCTTTCAGCTCAGCAGCAAGGATTCTCTGAGTACTTGGCACTGAGCTACTTTGGGAAACCCCAAGATACCTTCAATAAACTCACATTCTGCAGGGAAACAGGTATGTTCATTCAGTCATTCAGTCCACACCTATTTCTTGTGCTCCTGAAATCTTCCAGACAACTACTCAAATTACTAGCAACAAAGATAATATCTAACAGGTTTAGCCTGACATGGAATGGGAAAGGATGCTCAGCTGAGCCCAGCAGTAACCCTTAGCATGCCAGATCATGGAAAAGTAGTGAATGAAACAGAAGAGGACACAGGATGGCCAGAGCATTGAGGAAAGAGGAAAAAGCCTCAGGATAGCTGTTTATCATCCAGTACAGCATTTTAATACCTTGGAAACATATGTCTATGGGTACAAGTTAAATGATGGTCTTGGCTTGGGTTTAGAGATGAACAAGTGAGCCAAAGTCCTTGACCTCATGGGCCAACCTTCTAGTGCAAGAGTGGCTGAACTTTTCATAACCAAACAGCAAATAGCTTGGACTTTGAAGACCCTGAAGTCTCTGTCCAAAGTACTTAACTCTGTTATTCTAACAGCCACATGCAATAGTAAATAAATGAGTGTTGCTTTGTTCCTGCACTGAGAACTGAATGGCGATCCTGCTCATGTAGTCACTATATGGGAGGGAGAGACAAAATCAGTCCTTTTAACATGCTGTAATAAATGCTAAGACAGAAGTAAGCGGGAAATACAGAAGCCTCTGGACTTGAGGGATGACTTCCTGGAGGAGGTAATAACCATGCGCTTGCTCAACAGCCAGCCATGAGGTGAGCAGTCACCAGCAGCCCCTTAGAGCTGTTTCATCAGGACAGCCTGAGAACACTCATGCCTTTCTTTGTGGGTTGTCTGTGGTCACCAGCTCTTCCCTTGTGTCCCCTAGTCTCTGAACAGCTACAACGATGGAGACTACGAAGGAGCCAAGCGGCTGGGGCGGAATGCCAAGTGGGTAGCCATCGCCTCCATCATCATTGGCCTCATTATCATTGGCGTTTCTTGTGCAGTGCACTTTGCCAGGAAGTAAGTAGCCTTTCTGAATTCTTCACAATATTAAGTGCTTTTCCTAAATACCCACTGGAAACTGTTAGAATAAATCAGGACATGCTTAGTGATAATTTGCAACAATGGGATCATCATGTTTTCTTCACATTACAAGGACCATGTACAGACACTGCAAAGTCTCTCTTCCATAGAGTTCAGGGACCCAGGCTATATGTAACTCCACATCTATATCTAGCTTTTCTAACTAGGGCAGGAGAGTATGGATTCAGTTTGTCATGACTATGCGCATCTTGAGTTGTACTGATATGCTTGTTTCAAGAACGACCCTAATCACTTTTTCCTGCTTGAATTCTCATCAAACTCCAAATAGACAAAACCCTTAAAGTGTTACATGGAACTTTACAATCAGACCCTGGTTCCAGGGATACATCTGACCCTTCGATATTATTGAAGATAAACCACGGACACCCAGCCAGGATGGAGTCACTTTTGTCCTAATCCATAAATATGCCCTTCTTTCTGCCCCAAGTTCGTGGGATCCAACTGTTTGTGCTGCTGCCCAAAACCAAGCTTTCATTAGCAAGTCCCCCCTATACATTGAACAGTTTGTGCAATCCTAGATCTGGCACATTGAGGCCAATCCTCACACACTAAAACTGGTTTGCTCTGGAATAAACATTTTCCATAAAGGGCCCGATAGTAAATATTCTAGACTTTGCACGCCATATGGTCTCTATCATTACCTCTGTGACAACTACTAAGCTCTGCTTCTTGGACACAACAGCAGCCATAGGCAATGTGTAAACAATCAGGTATGGCTGTCATTCACCAGCCTCTGATCTAGAACGGGAAGTATCTTTAGGCTGTCAGGGAATGGGTAAGATCAAAGAACCTAATGTAGACTTTTCATTGCCTAAACAAATACCACAAATGCCACTTAGGCTCGCAATTAAATGAGTAAAGCCAGTCACATGATCCCATCTGATCATCAGAGGGTGTGTAACATGAGGGCATTAATGGAATATTTAGGATTGTTCTAATAGTCACCTTACTATCGATCAGCAAATTATTTCCTGCATTAAGCTAGCCTTGATGTTCTTAGATTAAGGACAGAAGAGCTGCTTTCAGCATCACCCATGAGCTCTCATCTCGTGGGTGAGATGAGATGGACGTTCTTGATGTTTCTCTCTAGATTGGGACACAAGTTTTCTGATTTCTCTAATAAACTGAGAATGCCACCTGCGAGAATGGCACCTTGAGAAAGGACAAGGTGATATGATACACATCCCAGGCCCAGAAATGACAAGCCCCAAACCAGTTTTTATATAAACTTTTTATATAAACTCAGTGAGAGTTAATGCTGAGAAATCCTTTCACTTTTCTGCCAGGACAGCCTAGCTTTCCAACAGCCTTGACCAAAGCATGTTGCGCTTGAGCTGATTAGGCCAATCTTTTCTTGGCTTAGTTGACCAAAGAGACTCATATGGGTGGATGAGGAAAGAATCAGATACCCTTCATCCTGTTAGATCAGCTGGCCCAATCTTGGCAACCAAGAGGGCAGCGGATATCACAGGAGATCAACTTCCTGTAGGACAAGCCAGAGCCACAAGCAGTGAGGAGCAAGTGGATATAAGGGCTCATGTCCTAACAGGAAGTATCCCAAACGGAAAGCAGGTGGCAGTATAAAAAGAAGGGAGAAAAGGACACAAAAAAGATCATTTTGTTGCTTTTATGACATTGATGTCAATATCATCAAATTGATAGGGAATGGGGGAAAAATGAGAATATTGGAGAATAGATATGAAAACCCCTGACTTCATTTTTTAAAGAAGGTATAATATGCTTAAGTATATGCATGTGATATGCCTGTGTGTGTGTGCGTGCACGCGTGCGCGTGCACGCACACACACAAGGGACCATGGAATATGGTAATGGTATAGACTCGGTACTAGATTACCTGGGCCCAGGTCCTCCTTTACTTACCTCAAGCCAATTGTTTAACCTCAAATATTTTTCATCATCTGTAAAATGGGGGATTATAGCAATTGTTATTTCATAAAGCTCTTGGTAAAGTTAAGTAGGTGACCCAGAAAAGGTGTGCAGTTAGGTAACTGTTTCTTAGTCAGTGCAGTAAAACTGCAGACCACTTACTGATACTATTATTACTATCATCATAACAAACTATAATAAGGATCCCTGAAAGTATATTCTATTCTTTCTATCATTCTAAGCACTGCGGGAGAGGACCACAGATTTTAAAATGCCACTAAAGAAAAGTCAAGACTTTGTATCCATGAGCCAAGCTCAACGGGCAGTTTTCTAAGAAAGGAGGACTTGCGGAAATACACACTGCCCAGATTAGCACTAGAGCTAAGCAGGTTATAATACTTGCAGATGACATTGGCATAAACTTTGTCTCATACCAGGCATCATTCAGAGTTCTCACATGACGAGTCCTCAGTGGACCTTCCAAGCAACTCAAGAGGCAGATATGATTATCCCATGTTGTAGATAAGAAGACTGAGGTTCAGACAGGCAAAGTGATTTGTCTACAGTTTTATAGATAGTTGGTAGAAAAGATAAGATTTACGTGTGGTTCTTTGTGCTGGGTTGGTGGTGTGTGTGTGTGGTGTGTGTGGTGTGTGTGTGTGTGTGTGTGTGTGTGTGTGTGTGTGTGTGTGTACTCGCAGATACATTTACCCATGCAGGTCATGTGGAGGCCAAAGGTTGATTTGTAATGTGTCCCTCACTAGCTTCTCTACCTTGTTTTTGAGACAGGATCTGTCACTGAACCTGGAGCTCACTCTTTCAGCTACGCTAGCTGACCAACAAGCTCTTGGGATCTGCCTGTCTCTACACCCAGCACTGGGATTACAGTCTCAAGATGCCACACCTGGCTTTTGTGTTAGTGCTGGAAGCCTGAACTCAGGTCCTCATGCTTTCACAGCAAGCACTTTTCTCACTGATCCATCCCCCCATCCCCTGTGCTAGGTTATTAACCACAACTTCACGCTGTTTTGCCATGGATGCATCCCTTCTGTTATACCCAGTAACGAGTATAAACAGCTCTTACCTTATGGCTAACTCCAGTATTCATTAATGGTGCGCAAGTCAGGGATGGGGGTATGATGTGATAAGGTTTCAAAATGTGAGCCAAGGCTCATAGAGTCAAAAGTCTTCAGGGCTCAGGCAGGAAACACATATATTAATATAGCAGCCTAGTTAGGGAGCAATAGGAAGCGGTGGGGACTGTGGTGAACAGTTACTGTGGTGAACAGCAACCACCCCTCAGGATGTTGAGCCCATTTTTAAAAAGGTGTTAGAAATCTGGTTTTTACGTAAAGTCACTGGTCTTTTAGATGTTGACAGTCATACTATTAAAACACATTGTAAGCCCCAAAAATAAAAGAGAAAATGATAATCATGTCTGCAGCCTGGGTACTGTCTACTTTCCAATCTAAAGTGGACATTTGGTTTTCAAAGATCAGACTGCTGGGGCTGGAGAGATGGCTCAGCAGTTAAGAGCACATACTGCCCATGCAGAGAACCAGAGCACCTACATTAGGTGGCTCACAACCACCTGCAACTCCAGCTCCAGGAGATCCAACACTTCTGGACCCCGGAAACACCTGCACTCACATGTGCACACACACACAAACACACACAAATTAAAAATTAAATGAATCTTTGAAAAAACAAGTTTGCCCCAAGGTATCACCCAAATTTTTTAAAAGGGGAGGGGACCTGGAAGCCCTCATATATGGGGGCTTTCTCTATTCTTAACATAAATGTTTCTATCTAGAGACTAGGCACTAGTGCGTACATGCTTATGGTTGAAACTTTCTCAGCAGGAATAAAAGCAATGAGTTAGGGATCACCTCCCCATTGTCTCTTCCTAAGGGATTGTGTCTCACAGTGGCTAGAACCTGGATTCAGACACTGATTTTACCAGGATTCGAATCCTTGTTCTAACACACAGACCATCTGGGAAAGCTGTTAAATTCTTTATGACTCCATTTCCCTATCTATGAACTATAGAATTATTTTCCTATCTATAAGATCACATTCCTTTTAGATATCTTTCTCTCCATATTATCAAAAGAAATATTTAGAAAATTTATTCAGAGTTATAATTCCATGGAGAAACTAAAATTTAGTAGCTGAGCATGGCAGTGCACTTGGGAGATGGAGGCAGGAGACTATGTTTGAGGAGAGTCTGGGTTGCATACTGAGACCCTGCCTCAAATACATAATAATAAATTAAATAAATAAATACTTTGTCATGTGAGAGAGAGTGCAAGAGCAAGGGAGAAAGAGGGAGAGGGAAGGAGAGAGAGAGAGAGAGAGAGAGAGAGAGAGAGAGAGAGAGACCCACAGAGAAAAAAGCCAATTCTACCACCCATTAAATGGAATACTATAGCCAATTTCTCAGTAATCCCCTGAAATAAAATTTTCCAGCCCTACTTTACTACAGGAATTAAATGGCGATTTGGAACTATTAAGATAGAAGTTCCCAAACTTTGGACCACCTAAGATTACCTGGGGACGCTTAAAGGCATTCTCATCCAAGCCCCACCTCCAAAGATTCCAACTAAAGCAGATGTAAATCTAGGGATCTGCGTTTTTCAGCCCCCTGAAGATGCAGCTCCTGGTGCTTAGCAGAGCTCTCTGCGTAACCCTGGCAACCCTTCCCTCTAAAGTCCAAAAGGAAGAACATACTGAGGTAGCTGTTCACAGAGTGGTCAGTTTTCATTTACATCAGCAAACTCGCTGTCTTATTTTGTTCTGTCCAAGTCAATGCCAAGGCAAGGAATAGAGTTACTACCTCTAGATTTACTAGGCCCTTCATGGATGAGCTCAGAAAATCAAACTACAAAGGACACCAAGCCTGAAGATGAGACAAGAAAGCCAGGAATGTGGGAGTTTTCTGAGTTTAATTCAAAAATAGTGACTGAAGGAAACAACTGCCCTATTAAAAACTGTAAAGTCTTTGCTTTTAAAATCAAACAAAAAATCAGTATTGGTAGCTAGAATGGTAGTATACAACCCCAACACATGGGAGGTAGAAGCAGAGGGATCAAGAGTTCAAGGCCAGGGGCTGGAAAGGTGGCTCAGCAGTTAAGAACACTGGATGATCTTGCCGAGGACCTGGGTTCAGTTCCCAACACCCACATGGAGGCCAACAACTATCCACAACTCCAGTTCCAGGGGATACAATGTCCTTTTCTTGCCCCCCTCACACTGTACACATGTGGTACACTTACAGGCAAGAAAAACACTTATTCATGTAAAATAAATAATAAATAAAACATTTACTTTAAAAAAGTTCAAAGTCATCCTCAGTTATATAACAAATTTAAGACTAGTCTGAGCTACATGGGATCCTAGTTAAATTTTTTTTTACAAAGTGAAAAGTTAGTCTTAGGCCAGGGGTATATTTCAGAGGGAAAGTAACCACTTAGCATGAGTAGTGCCCCAGATTTAATCCCCATCACTACAAAAGTAAATAAAGGGCTGGAGAGATGGCTCAGTGGTAAGAGCACTGACTGCTCTTGCAGAGGACCCAGATACAATTCCCAGCACCCACATGATGACTAACAACTGTCTATAACTCCAGTTCCAGGGGATCCAACACCATTTTCTGACCTCTGTGGGCATTGCATGACATGAGTGCACTTACATACATGCAGGCAATACATTCATACACATAAAATTAAATAAATAAAAATAAATAAATAAATAAATAAAACAATTTTTAAAATAGTCTTTATCCTCATCAAGAAAATGAAAACCAAAATAGATACTAGAACTCAAATGGCTGAAGTCTCCAGCACTGTATCTTCTTTAAATGGTTCCAAACCATAATGTTCTTTATCCAAACACATAAGAAGTTCTTCTTCATCTAATTCTACAGGATATCCACATGGTGGTTGAAAAAAATGAGGCTTCATGTCATCAAATTCACAGTATCTAAGAATTGTCCAACTGCATATTCAGCAGCTTTGGAAAGAATGCTATCTTGACAGAGTGTTCAGATCCAAAAAGATTCAAAAACTTTCAGTCTCTCAAAGTCAGGCCCTTCTCTGCCCTCGAGTTACTAGGGAAAGTGGAGAGATGAATCATACAGATGAAATGTTAAATGCTATAGTAGTATTTCTCAGTCCCAATACATGCAAATCCCTGGGCCAAGCCAAAATGTCTGTAGGGTTTTACTTTCTGCTAAGTGCCTTGAAGAGTCAAGCAAGGTTAGGCTATACTCGATGTTCATGTTTTTCAAGCATCTCTCTCAGACCACCTGCAACAGATTCATCTGGGACACTTGTAAAAATGTAGATCCCTGGCTTTCAGTCGAGCCGTAGATCAATCTTGAAATATGCATTATTGCAAGTATCTACAGCAGGAACTAATTCTAAGTATTCTAACATGGCAGAACCACCATCCTAGACTCTTATACTTAATGAAGAACATTCCTGCCTTGTGGGCATGTGCCATAAAAAGATACCTCTAATGTAAGAGATAATGTTTTCTTTGTTTCATACATTCAACACAACAGACTTCTTTGGTTTGATGTGAGTGTGGAGAGTACCCCCACACACTAAGCAATTCTCTAGCAAATCCTAACAGGACGTCCTATAATTCAGATACCACCTATTGGGAGTTACAGTCAGATCCCACAGGCTGAGAATTCATTCACTCAAGATGCCAGTCCTAAACCTCAGATTATATGTGACCTTCTACTAGCTAGAACTCGGGGTTCCCATGATCCCCTCCTTAGATCCTACGCATTCATGTAGTTGGCTCACAGAACTCAGCATGCTATGAAATACATCACAAAGGACATAGATGAACATCTAGATGGAAGAAACACATACGTCAAGGAGCTTCCCTGCCTTCTTTGTCTGCAACACCCTCCAGGCACATGATCAACAATCCAGAAGTTTCTCAGAGCTTGTGTCTTTGAGATTTTACAGCTGTTTCGTTATGTTGGCATGAAAAATTACATTAGTAGCTGCTGGTGATCAACTCAGCTCAGCCTTCAGCCCATTTTCCCTCCTTGGAGGACTGAAAAGCTCCAATTATTTAATCACATGTTTGGTTCCCATGACATCCCATCCACCATCCAGAGGACCAACCAAGAGTTTACCTGCTAGAACAAAAGATGATCTTATTACCAAGGAAATTCCAATAAATTTAGAAGCTCTATGTCAGGAACTGGGATCAAAGAGAACAAAAGATTCTCTTAGCATACAAGAGCTTAGAACCTCTGTCTCAAGAACTTGGGGCAGAGACTAAGTATTTTATTGTATCACAGTATTACACTTGAGGCTCCTGGGAGAGGCGTCACACCTGCACAATTTTCTCCTTCCTCCTCACTGTCAGGCTTGTGGTCACTTGTCTGATGTTCCTCTTCAGTGGAACTTCCTTAGCCACAAGACCAGTTGAGCATGACAAATTTAGGCACAAAGGATACAATTGTTCTGTGCCACCAATGTGACAGTCTCAGATGACCCTGGTAGAATTGGAGAGTTTTGTCTTATTTGAAATGAGGCTCACTAGGTAATTCTCATGTGCAGACAGAGTTGGAAGCCACACATGTACAAGATTGCTCATGGCAGCTTTGTCTAAAATATGAAAACCTGGAAAGACTCTGAATGTCCATTGGCAGGCAGATTAAATAAGCAGTGGTTTATTTGCAGGAAGGAAAACCACAGAGCACCTTAAACATGGAAACATCTCTCTTACTATAGCTTTACAAAGCTCTGCATGATCTGGGTGCTACCTGCCTATCCTCATCTCCTGTTTCCTCTCCTCTTCATTCTCTACTTCAGCCAAATTGGATTATTCTTCTGTTTGAGCAACACAGGTATCTTCCCGACTCAGGATCTTTGCACTTGCTATTCCCAATGCCTGGAGTGATCTTCCACTTATTACCCACGCAGCTTGCTCCCGACTCTCCTTCAAGTGTTTGTCCTGAGACTAACCCCCAGTGGATACTGTATTAAGCATGATTCTATTAATTAAACACACACACCACCACCACCACCACCACCAATGCCAGTAACTAAAAAACATTAGGTAAGAGAAAGAGACTCAGAAATGCTCAATGCATGCCATTCCACCTGTATCACTGAGGTTTTGTACATGTGCCACATGTAAAATAAAATATATTTTTCAAACAAAAAATACATCTCAAAATCATGCCGGCCTGCTTGTCCATTTAAGCAGTTGTCTAGTCAGGGTAAGCTCCATCAAATAAGGAGACCAGCAGGCCCTGGAAGCCCATGCCAGAAATTCAGTAATTCAAATTCTCTTTCTCTCTCTCTCTCTCTCCCTCCCCCCTCCCTCCCTCTCCCACCTTTCTCTCTCTCTCTCTGTATCTGTACCACACAGTCCCTGAGGAGCAAGCAGTCAGCTGGGAGCATACAGGACAGTCGTCATCTGCACATACCCCAAAGAAGTTTCTGAGGAATGGATCCTTGATTTTAGACTGTGAGATCTTTTCCTCCAGGACTCTCCAGAGGCAGGTCCCTGGCAAATGAACAACACCAACAAAAAGTCCAAAATGTAGGAAATCAGAGCGGCACAGCCACACCCACCAAAGTCATTGATTGATGAAAAAGAAGAAAATGGTGTCTCATTGTCTCGGTTCAGCAACGTTCTTTGGTCCATTCCTCTTCTGTAGAGATGAACTCCAGAAATCTTGTAATCTTTCACTGGTGGAGGGGTCTGGATTTTCAGGGAGCAGGAGGTTTTGAGGAAGAACAGCAAATGCTGCTGTTTACAATGTCAAGTACAAACATTTGTAGCATGCATAAAGTTGTGGATTTGTGGAATTTTTTTCCTCTCATTTTTTTTCATGTTATAGGTCCTTCAATCTTAAATAACTTCTTCTCCCTCAACACCATCAGAGTTCACCCAGAACCTGGGCTTTTGTCCTGGTCTTTCCTTTCTTCGAATTCCCACCTTCTCTTGCTTGTATCTGCTTTGATGGACTTGGCCACAACCTCTTTCTCCATTCAGAGTCTGAGAATGTACATAGGGGCCAATCCTAGGCAAATGCATACCTTCCATCCCAAGTTTGGGAATGAACTGGCTATGTTTATGGACTGTGGTATTCTTTTCCACCTGTTTTTTTAACCAAATCTCAGGCAAGATTTTTTATTTTTCCTGGATGCCACCTGGAAGTGTCACCCTTGTATTTTTTTTCTGTCCAATGTCAACACCTTAGGTATGAATGCCCTGGTTCACAATGCCATTATCCCACTCGCTAGAGCATGCTGACTGAGTCTTTGAAGAGTGTGAAGTGTATCACTAGCTGGTGTACACAGGTGATTTCTAAGTAGTTCATGAATGCAAAGAACACTTTCTTTTTTTCCTATTCTTTCTTGCTCCTGATTACAGGAAGAAAACTCTGTTGAGTAGTAGTCAGTCCTTAACATCTTTTGCCACTACAGCCATTGCCTGTTATAGTAAAGAAAGAGCAACCTTGGGTCTACTATGTCTGGACAGGAGTCAGTGATATTATTTTGTCTTCATGGTATTTATTCATTAACTACCGCTTGTGGCTCTCCACAGACCGATGCCCTCTATCATTTCTGCTCCAATAAATTTAGTTATGTAAGTAGACTCAAAGACAAATATCAAGTAATTAACCTGACATGTGATGTGTATAACCAGTTCACTTTAAGAACTAATGTTAGAAACATGATGGTAATGAACTTCAATAGACAAAAGTAAAGGTATTTTGTTCCAACCGAATGAAGAGGCTGAATGTCAAAACACCTGTTTCAATGCCTTTTAAAAGTTTTGTTTCTTGGAGAGGAGCAGAGTGGAGAAAGGGTCTCCTGTAGCCCAGGCTGGCCTTGAATTGCTACATAGAAGAGGATGACCTTGAAATGAACTCCTGATCCTTAATGCCTCCACCTACTGAGTGCTAGGATTATAGTCTTGAGCCATGATAGCCAAATACTTTTGTTTTCTTTAGGAGTGTGCAGAGCACACTAGCTGTGCAAGTTGATCTAGTCAAGTTTCTTAGCTTCTCTGTGCCTCGAATTTCTTCATCTGAAAAATGGAGATAAGAACACTGCCTCCTTACCTCATACTGTTATGAAAATTAATTGCCATGAAAGGTGTGTCCCTGGAAGGAATTCTAAGTGGTAAACAAACACAAAGCATGATTCTTGTAGCTCTAAGGCATTTGTGAAAATACTGAACCCTAGCAAAAAAATAAAACTTGATGGACATGAGACTCCACCTGCCATTCCATCCAGGTGTGTCATGAGCCAGCACTTGTCCCAGGAGGACACTGACTCAGGGACATGAATTCTCAGCACGTGGGCCTGCTAGAGCCATTCCAGTATATTGAATCCTACTTTCTGTTTCGGACATCTTGTTGTTTGTTTGTGTTTGGGTCCCTGGTCTTTCACCCAAATCAAATAAAAGGTGTTGCTGAGAGGGCAGAATAAAACTGGTTTTAAGTAAGCCTGTTTACCATGGTGTGTGAGTCATGTTTTCATCCTTTTAGAGACTTCCGTAATCATAATGTGCTCATCCACCCCAGCCTCTTTCCATAGGGAAGACCATAGAGAGCAGCCAGAGATGGGGCTAGAGAGGCCCCCACAATGAATTAACATGCTGAAATGCCCTTCTAGGTTTTTAAATATTGGTTCTTGGGCTGGAGAGATGGCTTGGCAGTTAAGAGCATTGACTGCTCTTGCAGAAGACCCAGGTTCCATTCCCAGCACCCACATGGAAGCTAACAACCATTTGTAACTCCAGTTCCAGGGAATCCAAACTCTCTTCTGGCCTCCGTTGGCATTACATGCACATGGTATACACTTACATACATGTAGGCAAAAATTCATTTACATCAAATAAAATAAATCAATCAAAAATGTTTTTAATAAAATAAAATTCTGGTTCCACTAAAGTCAAAATAAAATGTGAAAAATTCTGTCACTGAGTGGGATTTGCAGAATCTAAGAGGGGCTTTGATTGTTGTTGGCTCCTAGGAGCCCTAAGCTCCAATACCAATAGAGTGGTTCTCTTCCTTAGGGCATCTTGTGAAGTGGGGATTGCCCCTTTGTAATGGTTAATCTCCACTGTCTACTTAATGGAATCTACAGTCACCTGCTGGAGGAGCTTCTGGACACACCAGTGATGGGGGGGTTCCTAGATTGGGTTAGCCTCTGGGCACACCTGTGAGGGATTACCTACATTGGGATAACTGAGATGGGAAGACCCACCCACTGTGGACACACCGTGGGATGGGGTCCCGTTGTGATTAAAAGGAGAAGCAAGCTGAGTATATCAGCACTCAGCTCTCATCTTCATGGCTACAGATGTGACCAACTGCCCCAAACTCCTGCTGCTGTTACCTCCCCACCATGATGTAGTCTCAAACTGTGAGCCAAAATAAATAAGCCCTTTCTCCCTTAAGCTGTTTTTGCTAGGGTATTTTGTCACAGCAAGAGGAAAAATAATTAGGACATTCTTGATGTACTCCCCAAAGCACATGAGGAAAAGATTAGCCTGGCATATCAGCCAAGAGAATCTTTCATCAGCCAGTGACTAAAAATTTGCTGGAACAGGGGCTGGGGAGATGACTCAGTGGTTAAGAGCAGTGGCTGCTCTTGCAGAGGACCTGGGTTTGATTCCCAGCACCCACATGGCAGCTAACAACTGTCCATAACTCCATTTCCTGGGATCTGACATTGTCCTCTGACCTCTTCAGGCATTGCGTGACACAGGTGCACTTTCATATAGTCAGGCTATACACTCATACACATAAAATGAAAATAATAAATAAACTATCTTTAAAATTTGGCTGGAACAAAAGGTAGAGTTCAGTACATGTAACTGAAAAAACCCAGGGCCACCTTCAGATTTGACTGAATCATGGCGTTCAACTTTACTGCGAACTTATCCCTCTCCATTTTCAGCTCCAACTTATTGGTGTTTTAGTTTCATAATGATGAAAATGCTTCTAATATCCTTGAACTTTTTTCTACCATCTTAGAAACACCTGTAGAAATAAAGTGTTTTCTGCCTTAGTAGCTCCAGAGGGGAAAATAACTCAATTCAAAATAATGTATGATTGATCAGAAACAGAAAGGAGCCCATAGAATGGATACCAACCATTATCAAGCAGGTGTGGCCACCGTGCCAATATAAATTGATGCTATGACTAGGAGTGTGTGAACCTCTCCTTCCCTCACTCTTCGGCCAGGTCTGAAGTCAGAATTCAACCACTTGAAGCTCAGTGTGAGGTTAGCTCCACACAATCTTTACAGGTGGAAGGTATGGGAAAGGTGGTTCCCCAGAGGAAAACCAGAGTGCTTTTACCAGAAGGAGAGACAGATGCTGAGCAGAAAAAAAAAGAAAACACTGTCCACATTAGGCCTTCTGCTTCTGACTACGCCTTCCACACATGAGACCAGAGCAATCTAACAGTTATCCAATCTCCCCCTTATGTTTTGATTCTCATCCATTCCTTCATCTGATCAGTATTCATTCATAGGGCACCTGCTCAAGCATGGAATCCAGGCTCAACTTTGGAAATTCTAATATAGTTAAGAGAGATCCCTGGGAGGGTGGCTCAGGGTTTAAAGGGGGAAAGAGATAAATGCACGATTAGAAGGGAATGTGAACATAAACTCCTGAAGTCCTGTGTAGCTAGTTACTTTGCAGAAGGGAGTGCCTGCTGTATGTGAGGCAAAGATGGTTCAGGGAGTAAATGTCCTTGTCCCCGCTGCTCTATGTATCACTAAGGCTGATATGGCTGTAACTCTTGGAGCAGCCATGTCTTTGCCCACAAGTTATGGGCAGAGGCAGATGTAGACCATAAAAATCGCTGGCCTCAGCTCCTGGATCAGCACATTAGCTTTGGCCTAAGCAGGACAGCTGCAATCAGCAAAACAGTTCCACAAATGTATCTTGATATGTAACCCTAGACCAGGTTTCTAAATATAAGAGACAGTTTAAGGCCACCAACTACACACACACACACACACACACACACACACACACACAAATATCTACAATAGTATCCATATTCATGGATTACTACCAACCCTGAAAAAAGAAAGACTCCTAGATATTGAATATTAGAGCCTGGGCAGTTTTAATATAAAAATAGATCCTTGAACCCAGACACGTTTAATTCCTGTTCTGTGTTCATCAACATAGAATCATACATGCTACTCAAGTATTACCTGTCACTGCCAGAAAAGCCACAGAGAGAAGGAATTACCTTTCCAAAGACTGAGTGATTCCAATAGAGATTCTTCTATCAGAAGGTGGGAGCAGGCTGCAGGGTTGCCTGCGGGGCTTGTTTTCATCAGGCACCTCATTTCATCTTGTGTCCCTGTTTCAAGCTTGGATGAGTTCCCAGTCAAACTGTCAGTGGCTGGGTCACCTTGCTCATCCCTTTTCCTTCCCAAGTGTAGGTGGTCCCAGTTCGCACCCATACTCTGATCCACAGATGTGTCCCAGCCATTTCATTTTTCCCAAGGTTGCTGCTCCTGACATTGCCTCTAAGTGTTTATTTCCTGAGGGTGACACAGAATTCACAGGAATGGGAACTAGTGTTTTGGTGTGAAAGTAAGCAACCCTTAAAAGCCAAATACTACCTACAGAAGGGTAACCAATGGCCTGATGACTAGCATGAAAGAGGACCTCACACAGATCGACATGTAGAAGGTAAATAAATGTTCTTTGAGCCATTATTGATACCCATCTAAACAGTAACCTCCTTAAAAGGCTCCCTGTGCTTCAATTTCTGATGGTGTTACAAATATCTCAAACCATGACAGTTAATCTTCACTGTCCACTAGTTTTAGAATCTCCTACGAGATTGGAGAGGCATGCCTGTGGGAGTGTCTGTGAGAGTGTTTTGAGAGAGAATTAACCGAGCGGGCATGCCCTGAGTGGGGGTGACATCATCCTGTAGGTTGGGTTCCTCTCTCCCAGATTTCTGGTCTAGAGAAAATAGCTTCCTCTAACACTTGTTCCCATCACCTTGATGTTCTGCCCAAATACGCGGCGCCAAATAACCATAGACTGAACTCTCTGAAGCTGGGAGCCAAAATAAATCCTTCCTTCCTTAAGCTATTTCTGTCATGGATTTTGTCATAGGATGAGAAAAGTAAATAAAGCATAAACATAGTGATTTAACCCAAATTTATTATTTCAGGATTCTGGATGTCAGAAGTCTGAAATGGGTCTCCCTGGGCCAATATCAAGATGGCAGCAAGGTTGGATTTCTTTCTAGAGACTCTGAGGGATATTACTTTTTTTTTTCTTTCTTGCCTTTCCCACCCTCTAGGGATTTCCCACATTCCTTAATTCATAACTCCCTTCCATCTTCAAAGTCAGCAATTGCTACTCAACTCTTCTGCCCACTACATCTCTCTTGTTCTGACTCCTTTGGCCTCTTCATCCTCATTTAAGGACATTGTCATTACACTGTGCCCATGTGGATAAACAGGGTGAGTTCCATATTTTTTCCTATGTTTTTTCTTTTTATATTTTTATTGACCTTTTGTAATTTCATACAACAGTTCTTAATCAAATTTAGATCCTCTCCCCCACCCATGCCTCCCAGACTCCCCCACCAAACCTCATGTATTCCGCCATACATGATAAGTCCTATTCATTCAGGCATTTGTACCCAAATGCCCTTCAGTGTAAATGTGTGGCATCAAGCATGGGACCCATGTCAACTCAATTAAACAAGGGCCCAAAGGGAAGGAGAGAAATAGGTGGCAGGCCGGTACTAGACTGAGAACTATTCGAGACTGATTGCTGCTGAGTGAGGGAGTTCCAAATTTTAAGGTCTGATGATTAGCAACCTCAATTCCATCTGCTCCCTTAATTCTCCCTTTCTGTGTGACCTAGCACAGTCATATGATCCAGAAATTGATATGGGAATGCCTTGGAGAGATCATGGTTCTGCCTACTGTACTCTTTGACATTCATGCCTGTCAAGTTTCCTTTCCTGTTGTGATAAAATACCCTGACAAAAGCAACTTTAAGGGAAACAGGGTTTATTAGTCTTACAGTTCCAGATTATAGTCCACCATTGCAGGGAAGGCAAGGCAGGAACTCGGAGCAGCTAGTCAATCACATCCACAGGCAAGACAAGAGGAAATGAATGTATGCATGTTTCTCATGTTCAGCTTGCTTTGTCCACTCACACAGTTCAGAATCTGCTCCCTAGGTAATGGTGCCTCCCACAGAGAGAGGGAGGTCTTCCTACCTCAATTAATGTAATCAAGACAATCCCCCACAGAAAAGCCCACAGGTCAGCCTGATCTAGACAATTCCTCATTAAGGCTCTCTTCCCAGGTGAGTTGACATTGTGTCAAGGCAAGAATCATACCTAACCATAACAACACCCATACAACATACACACACACAACAGCTAGGGTGACCTCAAAACCTAAATCAGGTGCCATCATTCCTCTGCTGAAACTCAACCC